AGCAACATGGAGGTGAGCAACACCAAGACAGGCTTTACATTTCGACAGCTTTTAAACTTCTATTGATAATGCAATAGGATATCGGCTATAGAACGTTCTGTAAGATCCAAAGTACTGATAACGTAGTGGTGTGCAGGCTCCCCGAGGCACCTAATATCAACCGATGGGAAATTCTCTCCAATAGTTGCAGTCTTTCGGAGTATGTCTTGTTATATAGACCTTTACCAATTTTGTTGCTAGCCTCTGCGAACGTTCTAGAGCCTTCCTGTCGCAGTTTAACCATGGATTCATACTTGAACGGCGTACTCTGTGTGTGGCCAAACGAACGCTGATAACAAGCGTGGGAACAGTGCTCTTTCGAACTGCCCGAAAACACGTCTGAATAGTCCAAATGGCTTTAAAGCCATAGATGATGCTCTAGCACAGTGCGTGGAACATCCTACGTCCTCCTGTATCATAACTCCCAAATCCCTTTCATCAGTGGCATGTGGTAGTATTTGGTTCCCCAGAACGTAGGAGAAATATGTCTTATGCCACATGGAAATAACTCTGCATTTGGAAACGTTGAACTCGATGTCGTTGGCGATTGACCATCGGTGGGCTGCATCGATCGTTTGTTGGAGAGCTATATGATCCTCAGGATGTGTTACAGTTCTCCAGAACTTATCGTCCTCCGCAAATAGCAGTGTATTAGGCCCAAGGACATGTGGCAGGTCGTTTATAAATGCCAGAAAAAGACGAGGCCCCAGTAAGGATCCTTGAGGAACCCCCCGGGTAGCAGTGACAGGCTCCGATAATGAATCATCAACACGAACTGACATGGACCTTTGTCAGAGAAACTCCTTGACCCAGTCCAGAACCAAACCTCTTACTCCGTAGTTGTAGAGTTTTCGCAGTGGCATTTGGTGGTTTACTCCATCAAATGCCTTGGAGAAGTCCAAATAAACTGTATCCAATGGCTGGCCTGCATCGACGGATTTTGTCCACTCATCCCGTGTAAGGAGTAGGTTTGTAGTGCGCGAACGCTGGTGCCGAAATCCGTGCTGGATTGGAGACAAAAGCTCATGCTTCTCCAGATATTCCATCAACAGATCTGCCACAATAGCCTTCATGACTTTCTACAATATTGGAAGAAGTGTAACAGGGCGGTATTTGGTTGGATCACTGCGAGATCCCCGTTTGTAAATGGCAGAAATCACCCTTTCCTTCCATGACTGCGGAATTATTGCTTGGTTGAACATCCTTTGGTAAAGAACAGCCAGAGGTTCAGAAATGTTATTGTCTAGTAACATTAGAGTCCGGAGATACATGTTGTCTGCTCCTGGGGATGAATTCTTACGCAAAGTTGGTAGTGTTGCTCTAACTTTCTCACTGTCAAAAGCCATGTTACCCAGTGACGGATATGGTATACAGGGTAGTTAGCTTGGAATCTATAGTGCTTGATGTGTCGTTGTAGTAAACACCTGAGTGAACTGTTTTTTGAGGAACTCTGCTACTTCTACAGTAGTGGTTAAAACATTTCCAGATGATCTCAATGCTGGTATTCCGCATTTCAGCTTCCTTGTAGAATTGATGTGTTCATAAAGCAATTTTGGATTAGAAATGAATTTTTGAGCCAGGGTTTTTTGGTACATCAATTTGTCCTCTCTTACAAACTTGGTACACTGATTTTGCAGTAAGGAATAATTATTCCAAGTTCTGATAAATGGACATCTTCTGCACTCCCGCCAGGAAAAGTTTCTTTGCTCTATCCATTTCTTTGTTCGGCTGCGATTGAATGAATGACGAGTTTTAGATTTAGCACAAGTTTTTATACTTGTTGCATTCGTTACAATTTCGATAAGATAATCAGTGAAGCTCTTCCCTGCCACCAAAGGATCGTGATCATCTGGGAGAACCCATTGCTTAAGTATTGCCTGGTTTGGTAGCTTTTGTAGTCTATGATGGCACGAGTACTGCTCGTTCGGTTTTCTTGGGTAGATGCGTAGCCTATATAATCAAACATCAATACGGCATGATCACTACGTCCTAGTGGAGACATGGTCTTGATAGATTCCACCATCAGCTAGTTGTTAGTCAGCACTAAATCCAGTGTTGATGGGTCGTGACCTACTCCAAATCTGGTGGGTTCTGTTACGTGGTTTTACAGTGGGTACAGTCTAATCAACTGAGATAATTGTCCATCGAATAGCAGGCGGGAAGTCCTCGTTCTTATGAGATTGGGGCAGTTAAAGTCACCCATTATAAGGACATGGGTGAACTTAAGTGACAACGCATTCCTCATGGTTTGCAACAAAATCTCGTTGACTGAGTCTGAAGATCCGGGATGTCGGTACACAACACCGATCAGACACCTATCATTTTTGGAGAGTCTTACTGAACACCATAACGAATCGGGGCTGTGTCGGGAATATCAAACTGTTCACACTGTAAATTGCTTCGATGATAAAGCAGCACTCCACCGCCTCNAAACCATAACGATTCGAGCGCTGCGTCGGGATTATCAAGCTGTTCACACTGTAAATTGCTTCGATGATAAAGCAGCACTCCACCGCCTCGTGTAGGACGATCACATCTGAGCAGCAATATTCCAGATAGAAGCAATTCCTAGTCGAGAATGTCGGTGGTCAGCCAGGTTTCAGTAGCAGCAACAATCTCAAATCGATTGGTTTCCACCGAAGTTCCATCTCAAGGAATTTGCTAAGGTAACCTCCTGCATTGGTATAAAAGCATGAAAAATATCTTCGGCAAAGAAATCTATCTGGGTATGTGGTGTTGTTTCTGCTGACCAACTTGGGGTTGGCTAACAACGAATTTTGTCGCATTGGCTTCGTCGGTACTGCTTTGTGAACGTGGAGTGATAAAAACCGCGCTAGTGGAGGAAGGTGGCGTGTTAGTATCGGTTGCCGTTTTCGGACTTTGCTGGTATCCGGTATTATGTGGTGGTTTTAGGCGTAATTCCGGTGGATCCCTTTGTCTATTATCATTTCAAGACTACAATACAAAGTTCGCCATTTCAGGCGTTACGAGGATCACTTTCATTATCCTTGGGCCGTTCCCGGGGTAGTTCGGTGAGCTGGGTTGACGACTAATTGCCGTAGTAAGAACCTGGGTACAATTAAGTAGTTCTCGAATGAAACTCCGTTCCTTGCAGTCGTTTTGTTGACATGGGGTTTTGTCCGNCGGATCGTCCAGTAGGGGGACTCCATGAACTAGAACAACCCGTTCGTTCTCCCATTATCGTGCGTTTGTTGGGTTAGTGCCGTATTGTGTTCGCTCCGTCCATGGCCTATCTAGAAGTATTCTTCTTCTACACAAATCTTTGTTTAGAAGGTAACCAGAGAGAAGAAATTTTTCCAGGTCTTTCTCGTCTGCATATGTAACGCGAGTCAATGGTGGCTCCGCTGCCGATAGTAGCTTTTCAAAATTTTGTGTCATATGTTTCATGCACTTCACTATCAGGTTTTCTGAGCAATCGTTACATAACCACAAACTGTATGGCTGGATCATGATCTGTTTTATTCGTTTGGTAGACAGTTTTTGCACAGGACCGATGAAAGTACTTTAGACAGTGACTGCAGGCAATGCCCGACAGTAGACAGTAGACAAATGGGGAATCCTGATCCACCGATCTTCCACTCGACTTCCATGACTTCCACGTCTTCTTTACTGGTAAGATGTAGTACACCATCGCAAGTTACTTACTTGGCCAAGTCATTGCATACGGTTATTCTTGCATGCAAATTATGTGTACACATTTTGTCAATAAACTGTTCGTTTTGTCACACTATCTGTCCCAACGGATTTCTACTTTTTTCTTATCCTCTCTCGCCAGCGTCGTTATCGGTTAAGTCGGACTGTAGACCGCATGAGAAAACCTATATGGGTGGGGTGTTTTGTGTCCCAGGAACAAAATTGACACCGAATCGAATCGAGCGCAAAGACTTTCGTTTATCCCGTGTAATTTACGTCCAGGCCTGTCTGCGTTTACCTATGCTTTTTGAGTTTAATGAGACAGTGGTAGTTTGTATGCTAAAATGGCTTTTAAATTTGATGATGCACAATGAGCAGTGTATTGATCAGTAGCTCATGTTTGCGATAAAATTATCTAAATGGTTTCAGCGACAGTACAGTGCCCTATTGAGGGCAAAACTAATAAAGGACAAAAACAAAGCTCAGTATCAAAAAGGTATTCATGAATTTGTAATGTTCACTTATTGCTAAGTAAGGTTGCCTTAACAAATTCGCAGTAAGTTAGTATACTGTGGCGGATGAATAAAAGAGAAAGTATATTATCATAACACCAAGTCCCGGCGCTTGAAGTATCCACATAATTGAACGCTCGGTCAGCCTCCCCTCCCCGCCCATTTCTTCTTCCACGCATTGCACCAAACTGAGTGTTACTTATTAAAGGATTTTCGGGTTAGTTGATATAAGGATAGTGTTAGTTTTAGTAAAACATGCAAAATAAACTATGCATGATGTGGTCACCGATAGGTAACCATGCTTTTTAAACATGCACTTTCTCACACGGTGTCACGTTGTCCAGTTTGACATTTTTAATGGCCACAAGTGTTTCTGCTAACCGGAAAACGAATCGAGGTAGAGAAACTGTGAACAACCTGCTATTTCTGGTCGTGACATCCGGTTTGTTAAATTGTTTACATACACACAGAAATGGACCACGAATTTCACTGAAAAATTAAAAGCTTGCAAAATTTTGCCAGTCCTCTTAAAGTAGCCGGACTGCATTCGATTGATCGCCCCCCGCCCCCACCGCCTACCTGCGCAAGCGGACTATGCACACAACAGGGCGTAAACCGGATCCCTTGTCCAGAAAACACGTCACCTTTACCCGGCTTTTCACATTGTTTATATGCGCCGGTATACCGGAGTCCATTCACCCATGGTGAACCCCACACCCTCATTGGTACGATTCATACAACACAGGGCTGGCACAATCCGTACTGTCATTGTGTCAGACTAAAGGTCACGCTTACTTCGTGTATTCTTCGTCGTGGGTCGAACCGGTTCCACCTTCTCTGTGTCTGCGTCCCAGGCAATCAATGTGGGATTGTAGGCTGAAACAAGAACATTCGAATGGATTGGAAAAGTTCCACAACTTTGCACGGTAATGATGCGAAAAGAAAAACATTTTTGAGAAGAATCTTAACACCGAACTGAAACTGTTAGTACTAATCACTTATTGCGGTAACGTTCTACGAGGGGAACAGGAACCATAAACTGTCTCGTACATGAAACAGAACAGACAAATGGTGGATATTACCGGACACTTTATACCTTAGGACAAACAGCAAGCCAGTACGAAACGGAGATAGGAAAACTATTCTCATTACCGATGGGACGAGAAACTTAAGTTCAATTATTACTTCAGTAGGCAGTTCGGTGGACACCGTTGCAATGGCTGGTAATAATCGCTTGAGGGCTTCGATTGGTAAGAAAATATTAGTTTTGTGGAACAATAGATTGAAGCGCGTACATGCACATGCATTATGGCAAAGATTACTGAAGTCTTCACAATTCTATTCCAACTCTACTCTTAGAATTACCGTCTAAATATGTTGTTGTTCTTTGTTCGTTAACGTTTGGTATCTGCTAGGGCTAGCGTGTGTCATTCAAGAAAGGAACCACGACTGTGTATGACTGCAAAGTCAGGCAGCAAATAAATCTGATAATGATTCAACCGAGGAAACAGTCAGAAACGCGATAAGTGGAATCACCACCCACTTGAGAGAGCTCGTTTATAACGTAAACGTTTGTGAGTATTTTTGTCTCATCCCAAAGTTCCAAACATCATACATGTCGGGTGCATTGCGCTCTCATTATCAATTACCCAGTTGTCTTGCTAATCTTCATTCTATTGTGTAACATTATGATTTCGTTGGTGTCTCAACAAACAATAAAATGAGCGTTGCCATCTTTGTCGTGGTTCTCTTAGACCACCACGGAATTTTCTTTCCTTGATTAAGTGCTATATCCAACACATCGGAACTCTGAATCCGTGAACACGCGTATTAACGGGATCCGCAGAATTGGACTTCCGGTCTACAAATGCAACGATAGTGAATATGGTATCTCGCATGGCAGTGCTTTTTAAGATTAGATACTTCGAGAACACGTTGTGACAGTTAAGACAACTAATTACCGTTGACTATCGGCTACGGTGACAACTGTTGAATGAAATAATGCAGATACCGAATCGCAGGTTACAGAAATAAACCATTCCCCACGAGCTGATGTACTGGCAGCCAAAACGGATACTTACTTGAGCTTAAAAGCGCTGAATAACGGCTTTTTGGATCTGCTAATAGTGTCTTCTTGTCATGACTCCGATATGACCAATTATCTAGCAACCGATGCATTCCTAATCGTCGTCAACTTCGAGCACGTATACGCTTCTAAGACATCTGACGATTAGAAACCACAAGTTAAATGAATGCTATTGTAGAAATGTTGAGCCTGATTCGGTTTTATACTATGCTCGTTCAAAAGTGTTAGCCATTGAGAGGAATTGGTCAAATGAAACCCACGGTGTCGCTTGAGTTCGATCAATACCTGCAGATGTACACTGTCTTTCCCCGGATTACCACGAGAAAACGCTCAACCGTGTACATTGTCCAAAGATGCTACATAAGCCCCTTTAGCGGTATTCAACGAAGTAAACGACAACGTTCTCGTTGCTCGAAGTAGTTTTACTTTTATTTCTGATTTCTACGAGGGATATTTTTCTTTAAATCATTTGTAAAAACAGCCTTTATGCATATACGTAAGCCAGCTTGCCACATTCTCCTACTTCCCGGTGTGCTTGTGAAAAGCTGTGCCTATCCTGAAAGAGAAGCTCTTTCTCAAAAACTCCCATCCTTTTGCGAATAAATCGATGGACGACAGAAAGAATGAACTCGTCTGTGTATTAGTTTTGTTACTGCTTCTTATGAGAGTATGGTCTTTCTCAGTATGCTTAAAAGGGGAGCAAGATCACTCAGAAATGTAAAAGAAAAGCTCTTTTTGCAAGATACTTGAACTACCTCTCGACAGTGCCCTATATTTATTGATTGGCCGGCACTTAGTCAAAAACTCCATGTCTGTCCTGCTTGTTCACCGTGTTATCGCTTCAGGGTAACGTGCTTAGAAACGGGAAAA